CCCCTCCCCTCCTCCTCCTCCCTCCTCCTCCTCTTCCTGGTCGTCCCTCGTTCTCGTCCTCCTCTCTTGCTCGTCCCTCCTCCCTCCTGGTGTTCTCTATCATCCCCTCCTCCTCCCCTCCTCCTCCTCCTCCTCCTCCTCCTCCTCCTCCTCCCTCCTCCTTGTGTCCTCGATCCCCTCCTCCTGGTATCTCCTCCTCCTCCTCCTCGTCCTCGTCCTCCTCCTCCTCCTCCTCCTCTTCCTCCTCCTCCTCCTCCTCCTCCTCCTCCTCCTCCTCCTCCTCCTGGTACTCCTCCCCCTCCCCTCCTCCTCCTCCTCCTCTTCCTGGTCGTCCTCCTCCTCCTGGTCGTCCTCCTCCTCCTCCTCCTCCTCCTCCTCCTGCTCGTCCTTCTTCTCCTGCTCCTCCTGCTCCTCGTCCTGCTCCTGCTCGTCCTCGTCCTCCTGGTCTTGCTCGTCCTCCTCCTCGTCGTGCTCTTGCCCCTGCTGAAAATGTGGCCCAGGAATGGGAGTTCTGGGAAGTCGAAGAGCACGAAGTGGCCTACGGTTGGCTCCGGGCATTCAAAATGTGCCCCGGGAATGGAGTTCTGGGAACTCGAAGAGCACGAAGTGGCCTACAGTTGGCTCCGGGCATTCAAAATGTGGCCCGGGAATGGAGTTCTGGGAACTCGAAGAGCACGAAGTGGCCTACAGTTGGCTCCGGGCATCCAAAATGTGGCCCGGGAATGGAGTTCTGGGAAGTCGAAGAGCACGAAGTGGCCTACAGTTGGCTCCGGGCATCAAAATGTGGCCCGGGAATGGAGTTCTGGGAAATAGAAGAGCACGAAGTGGCCTACAGTTGGCTCCGGGCATCCAAAATGTGGCCTACAGTTGGCTCCGGGCATCCAAAATGTGGCCCGGGAATGGCGTTCTGGGAACTCGAAGAGCACGAAGTGTGTACAGTTGCATCCGGCCCCCCAGAATGTGGCCCGGGAATGGCGTTCTGGGATGTCGAAGAGCACGAAGTGGCCTACAGTTGCATCCGGCCCCCCAGAATGTGGCCTGGGAATGGAGTTCTGGGAAGGCGAAGAGCACGAAGTGTGTGACTGTTGGTGAAAAGCGAGCCCAGCTCATGCCGCCCGGAAACGCCCCAACACCTGCCCGGACCCCCCTGTGGAGTGATCTGTGAGCTCTTTTGAGACCACTAGAAACCTATCAGTCTTCGCTGTTAGGTAAAAAACCTTCCTCAGGAGAGTTCGCCGAGAACCCTCTGAAAACCGCCTTCATGAGGTCTCATCACATCGCTGGAGATCTGCGCCTGCGTAGACGAGCGCGCTCCACCACTCGCACAGAGTGACCACTCGCACATGGCCTGGATCCGCCGAGGGGGATTTACGATACACTACATCGCAGCAAACATGTGTCTTTCGGACGTCTGCGAGTGGGCACTCTGCGAGCAGTGGAACGCGCTCGGCGAGCCTGTCTTAGGTCGGGCATGGCCCCTTACAGGCAGATCCAGGAGTAAGGCGTAGAAAAGTACGCGAGACATCTTCAAGCACGGCCAAGACGCACTCTCAAACCATCGCCCCCAGACTATCTGTTGACTATGTTTGAGCATGCCTCCTGACTATGTTTGAACACTCCTCTTTCTTTCCCTAGGCCTAGATCAGAATCCTGATGGCCGCTCGCCTATCCTGTAAATGAGCTCTTCCACAGCTTTCGCGGCCTCCTCTAAGGCGAGCGCCTCGGCTGTAAAGGAAGATATTGGGTCACTGATAAACGTCCCTGCAATGATGAAGAGAGTCGTGGTTTCTATCAAACCACGGCGCGCGACAGCCTCTACGCACCAGGCGGCTGCTGAACACTCCTCCTGTAGCGCCTGCCTCCGCCGCCAGAGGTCGGCCGCGGCCGCCCTCCGCCCGCCGCCCGCCGCCCCCGCGGCGCGCTCCAGCGACAGGGCCACGGGCCTCTCCACGCGGCCGTGCGCGGCGGCCCCGGCGGGGCTGCCCGCGCCAGCGCCTGCGGCGGGCGCGGGGGGGCGCAGGGCGCGGTGGGCTGGCCTCCTCGATCCCCCAGCCTCCTCGAGCCTCCCCGATCCTGCGTGAGCCTCCTCGATCCTGCGCGCTCCTCCGCGCGATCCTCGGCACGCCAGCTCCACCTCCCCCGCCAGCCCCCTGCGCGGCGGCTCGCCAGACCACGCCGCGGGCCCCTTGTGCACCTCGAGAGCGGCGGAGGCATCCATGTCCGCGCCGTCGCAGCCCAGATTTCGGGGCGCGATCCCGCGAACCCGCGGTCGCACGGACACGCTGCGCGCGGGGCATCCGCGACAAGACGCCCCTTCTCCGCGGACTCGTGGCCCAGGGGCCAGGTCCACGAGGCCACGGATGCGGATATGTGTGTTTCCGGCCACGAACTCAATCGCGCGCACTCTGCGGGCAGTGCCCGAGCGACCCGCGCTCATCACAGCACGGCTCGCCTGATGGGCCTGTTGTCCACCAACACCACCAGAAGTTGGAGGGAGGAAGGAGGAGGACGAGGAGGAGAAGAAGGAGGAGGTGGAGATGGAGGTGGAGGAGGCGGAGGACGGAGGAGGACCCCCTCCCCCTCCAACTTCTGGTGGTGGTGGTGGAAAACAGGCCCACCATCGCCCAGCCCACAGAACACACACCCGCGGCGTCACCGGGCCGCCGCAGGTCGGGGCTGCGCCGCCAGCCGCGCGCGAGGCCCCAAAGGGGCCCTGAGGGATGGGCCGCTCCTCTCATGAGCCGCGCGCTCCCCGCCTGCGTGCGCCGAGGCGGCCCGATCCGGTGCGCGCTCCATCTCGAAGAAGGCAGAGCGGCATAAGCATAAAACGAAGGGAACCCAACCCCAGGGCCGCAGCCCTCGTGATCCACTCATTGCCTGTCCTCAGGACTGGGTGCCGCTGGTAACTTTCAAGAACTCTGGGAGGCTTGCGTACGCGAGGCGGGCATGTGCGGTCGGTAGGCGTGCGTAAGGGCATGCGATGAGTCGTAGGTCTGCCAGTTGTCGGCATGCCCAGACGGTCTTCGAGAGAAGGGAACGGAGGGAACCCAACCCCGGTCAGGGCAGGTCTGGGGCAGGACCCCAGACCTGCCCAGACGCGATCCGATCCGTCGGATCGATGCTGGCCGCCCTCCTGCCCCGCCCTCGCCCCCCGCTGGTCGACGGGTCAGGTCTGGGGTCAGGTCTGGGGCCCTGACGGATGCGGCCCTTGGGTTGGGTTCCCTCCGTTCCCTTCTCTCGAAGACCGTCTGGGCATGCCGACAACTGGCAGACCTACGACTCATCGCATGCCCTTACGCACGCCTACCGACCGCACATGCCCGCCTCGCGTACGCAAGCCTCCCAGAGTTCTTGAAAGTTACCAGCGGCACCCAGTCCTGAGGACAGGCAATGAGTGGCTCACGAGGGCTGCGGCCCTGGGTCGGGGAGACGTAAGACTCGGGTACAGGGGACTCGGGTTGGCCCGACGGGGCCATCATAAAAATGACGAGGCCCAATCTGAAATTTGACGCGAGCTCCCGCTGCAAACATCCCACGAAAACTGGACCGTCAAAATCCAGGGCGCGCTCGTCAAAAAAACGTCGGCAAACCCGAGTTCCGGCTTACTCGGGTCTTGCGTTTCCCCGACTGGGGTTGGGTTCCCTTCGTTTTATGCTCATGCCGCTCTGCCTCCTTCGAGATGGAGCGCGCACCGGATCGGGCCGCCTCGGCGCACGCAGGCGGGGAGCGCGCGGCTGCCCCCGGGGCGGCGGCGCGGCTGGCCAGGGCCGCTGCGCCTGGGCTCAGGTCGGGCTGTCGCCAGACAGAGCCTGCCAGACAGCCAGTCACGCCAGACAGCCAGCCGAGCCAGACAGCATTAGGACATCCAGACAGCATTAGGGCATCCACATGTCGTCGTCTCATCCCCCATATACTCTTCTTCTCCTGGCTCCGTGGCCTCCCTCGCTCATCTCATGGGGTGGCCCCCCCACCTCACCCCCCTCCATCCTCCGTCGTCAGGGCCCTCGTCACCGCCGCTGCTGAGGGCATTCTTGACTGCCACAGGCAAACAAATGGTCGAACATCGTCAAGATAAAACAAATCTTAAAGATGTTGGCAGAATCGTCGAACATCGCCAACATGGTCGATCGAACAGGCAAACATTTTGGACGAACAATAGAAGATGATCAATACATGATCGACCACAGTCAAACAACTGGCAGAAAACTCGTCCTCAGGCAATTTCTTGACTATCTTCGCACATTCCTCCTGCAGAGGGACATGCCCGACTGAAGCCGGGGCCCGTCGCGGCCGCCCAGGGGGGCGGCCTCGCGCCGCTTCTGCTTCCACCGTGCCGGCGGCAGCAGTCGGGGGCCGAGGCCCCGCACGCGCGGCTCGACGCGTGGACCAGGAGCGGGAGCGGATCGCACCTCGAGGAGGACACCACGGCATAAAACAGGAACTTGTGGCGCTCCGCGCGGAGTTCGTGGCCGCACGCTGGGCCCCCCCTGGCGGCGCCTCCGGCGCCGCCCCTGGCGCGCTCCGCGCGCCAGGGGGGCGCGCCAGGGGGGGGGTCCAGCGCAGATCCAAGAAATCCGCGGGGAGCGCCGACAATTTATGTTTATGCGTTTTTGTTTGTCTTCTACAGTCGGCCGCGCCGGGATGCACGACAGCGTGACGCAGGCACCTGGTATCATCGGTCCTCGTCGCAGTGTCAGGAATCTGCTCGGGTCGGGCTGGCCGAAGCCGGTATCTGCCTGGACCGATCGGATCGAGGCCCTGCGAGTCCAGATGGATCGGCAGGGAACTTCTGACTGGTCATCCTACCCCGTATCTCGCCTGGCCAACAATTAAGGATCCTGCGAAAAAGGAACTCTCCTGGTCGCTCCTCGTCTTTCCCTCCTCCCTCCTCTACCCCCCTCTTCCTCCTGTTTCCCCCCGCTCCACCCTGCCCCCTCTTTCGACCCCCCTGCTCCCAGATCCTCCCCTCCTCCTTCTCCTCCTCCTCCTCCTCCTCATCCTCCTACTCCTCCTCCTACTCCTCCTCCACCTCCTGCTCATCTTCATCTCTCTATTTCACCCCTCCCTCTCGATATTCCTCCTTCGTCCTCCTTCGCCTCCACGTTCACCCATTCCCAGTGCTGATCTTGTCCGCTCTGGCCACCTCGGAACCCCGTTGGGACTGTTTGGTGGTCCTCTCCATGCTTATCGCCGTGGCCTTGTCAAACCATCTTCGGCCACCCTTGGGGAGGGCATGTTTGGAAAAGTAGGCCATCCTGGGTGATCTTGTGTGTTGGGATAGCGTGGGGCCTCATGGGGCTTCCTGGGAACTCCTTGGACCTCCTGGAGCCTCAAACCCGTGCCCAAGGCGCCCCGAGCTCTTGATCCCTTCCCTGCGGCCGGCTTTCACCCTGGCCTGGGACTCGGAAGCAGCCCCCGATCGTCGAACATTCGCTGGCCCAACGAGCCAGAGACGTGCTAAGATCTCCGACCACAGGTTTATCGGGGATCCTCTGACCCGGGTCAATCCAGACCCGGGTCAGCAGGAAACCAAAAACTGCAATGCAAGAAAAAAAAACTGCAACGCAGGTCCTCGCAAACCCGGGTCAGCCAATACGCACGGCCGCCTCGCGGCCACGAGCGGCTCCTTAACCCGGGTCAGCCAGAGGGGGCCTTCGCAGGATCCTGCAGGATCCGGCGCCCTGGCTGACCCCCGTTTGCACTGACCCCCGTCTCGAGGCTCCCGAGTTTAGAATGTTTCCAACTCGCGCGCGCAGGGCCGCCCCTGGGGGTCCTCGGGGCCACGGACGCCAGAACTCCCGGGCGCGGCCCCGAGTGCTCCGGGAGCGCCCCCGGAGCGTCCCCGGGAGGCGCCGGGTGGGGGTGGGGGGCAGGCCCCACGGCTTCGGGCCAAGAGCGCGCCACGAGGGCCGAAGATGAGGGCTTCAAGCGGATCCCAAAAGGGTCCCAAAACAAGACAAGACAAGAAGCCGTGCATCCATGAAGGACGCGTGGGCAGAAATAGCAACTAAAAAGTTGCCGCGGCCGCAGCGGGCGCCTCAAGGGGGAGGCGGCGGAGGAGGCAGAAAAGCTTCAGATGCTCAGGTGTTCGAGATTGTAGACGGATTGTGCCCATTGCTGCCTTGGTCTCCCTCTGCGCCGGCGGAGTGCCCAATCTTTGGGCGTGCCGTCTGCGTTGCACACCACCCGCTTCACCAAGGAATCGTCTGTTTGTCGCTTGAGTCTTTGTAAAAAAAACATTGTTGTCGCTTGAGTCTTTGAAAGGTGTTGGTGTCACCGCCTGCTCGGGCTTCCGACGGCCCAGGACGGTCACAGAGGCCGCCAAGACCGCCCCAAGTGAGCCCAAGACGCTGCCAAGACAACGCCGAAATGTCCCAAGAGGACCCCAAGAGGCCTCTCACGAGGGCTCCCCAGACCCACAAAAAGGCCCCACGAGAAGAAACAAGCCCTCATATGTGGAACCGCCCCAAACAAAATTGCCGTTGAGACCGCCGGCAGGCCCCCAAGAAGCCCCCCGGAAGCCCGAAAAGCTCCCCCGACAAAGCCCTCAGGAGGGCCCCAAGAGGCAACCAACACTCATTATATTCGGATGGGTGTTTGAAAGACTTTGGCGCCACTGCCTTTTCGGGCTTCCGACCGCCCAGGACGGCCCCCGACGTGTTCAAACAAGACGAACTGCGCCAGAAATGTTCCAGTCAAACTTCACGTAGACCACAAAAGGTTCTCAGAACATTGTTTGGTGGGCCTCTTAGAGGCCTCCTAGCTGGGGTCGGAGTAGATGTGGTCGGAGGATCGCGCCGCATCGACGACACATCGGCGATGCATCGGGGATGTATCGGCAACGCCAGAGCGGGGAAAATCGGGCCCCACATCGAGCCGCATTGGCGATGCGTCGGCGATGCAGCGCGCTCCTTCGACCCCGTCTACAGTCGGACTTGCTTGGACAGGACGCGCGAGAGGACACGAGACCCTTCCAAGGGCCACACTGCCATATGAATGTGGGAGGCATGGGTCACGAGATACAGGACACAGGGGTACTCTTGATTCGGGAGGGTCGACCTGCCAATATGGGCCGACTCTACTCCGACCCCATCTGGGAGGCGGGGATGGACAGACCTCCCTTTAGTAAAACGTGGTTTAGTGAAAACGACCTGAGGCCCAAACCTGGCGGGCGCAAGCCTGGAAAATAACGGCCACGGCGCCCTCTCGAAAACCGAAAACGGACGATTCACTAATCGACGTGTCACTGCTGGGGGTTCTGTCCACCTCCGATAGACCTGCAGGCAAGCAAGGACGCTCGGCCACTGCTCGAACACCGCCGCCGCCCTGCCCCGGGCCGCCCCGCGGCGCGGCGCGCCTGGCGCCGCGCCGCGCTGGCTGTCCAGCCAGGCGCCGGAGATGCGCGCGCGCCGGCCGCGGCCTGCGGCGGCCGGGGGGGGGTGCGCCCGAGAATCAGCTCAGGTCGGGCATGGCCTCCTACAGGGGGGCAGAAGATGGTCAAAGATAGTCGAAGCAACGTCCCCTGACTATCTTGACTAGTTTTGAATATTCTTCCTGTAGAGGGACACGCCCGACTTCAGAAGAAGCCCGCGTCGCCGTGGTCGGCGTCGTTGTCGTCGGCGTCGTCATCGGCGTCATCGTCGTCGTCGTCGTCGTCGTTTTGTCGTCGGAGTCGCCGTCGTCGTCGTCATCGTTTTGTCGTCGTCGTCGTTTGTCATCGTCGTCGTCTTTCCCCTTCCAGGTCAGCGGCACTTGCCATCAGGCCTTCGCAATAAGCCCGCGTAATTACAGCTGATTTGGTCTGCAAGGGGGCGTCCAACCCCCTCGAAGCGTGACAAAATGACGACGGAAGGTGCTTCCGCATTTCGGCCGCTGGGGCCCCTCGCCGGGCCTCGAGACCGTCCAAAACGACGCCCTACTCTTCGACGAAGACACTCGAGCTTATTCGGCGGGGGAGGGGGGGAAAGGGGCGCGCGACAAGCGAACCTTTTTCACCTTGGGCAGCCCCGCGCATGCCCGCGCGCACCAATACTGCGCACCCCCTCCTCCTCCCCCTCCTCCTCCTCCTCCTCCTCCTCCTCCTCCTCCTCCTCCTAGCCCGTGGGCCCGAGCCGATTGAGAGGGGCCGCGGCACATCCATTCATTCTTTGTGCTTCTCCACAAGAAATCGGAGGGGCCCATGATTGTTCCTGCTCGGGCATGATGAGCGCTTCTTCTCGCCCCTACGCCAATGCCGCGCAGGTGATCAGCTACAACCCTCTCTCCACCCTGAACTGCGGCAGGCTCGACGACATATTCAGTGAGTTCAAGCACAAAGCGGTCATCGGGCTGCAGGGCACCAGACTACCAGGACACGATCTGGCTATTGAGCAGCGAAGTATTGGAAATCATATATTCTATTCTGCTGGATATGGACGACGGTCTAACAAGCATGCAGGCGTGGCAATTGGGCTTCATCGGCGAATGTTTCGTGACACTTCGATCAAGGAGATCAAGGTGCCTAAGGACCCGAGCTTGCAAGGGCGTGGCATCCTCATACGTACTCGCACGGACAGCATGGACGTGGCATGGATATCCTTGTACTTTCCCCCTGAGAATGTTGGCAACCACAAGCCCAGGTCCCCGTTCCAGAAGCTTCTTTCATGGACCTCACAGATTCTTGCTGGACTCCCCGCACGTGTGTTACCTATAATGATGATGGACGGGAATGGCAGAGTGGGCATGCTCGCAGGACCTCAGGGCGTACCATGCCCAGATGATTGTTTCGCGATCGGCCCGCACTTTAGAGAACCAACCAACACGAATGGCAGCTATTTGAGACAATTCTGGCTTGACTTTCACTTGTGTGCGGTGAACACATACTTTCCTCACGGAGCCGGGCCTACTCATTATAACTTAGGCATGAACACCCAGCACAGGATCGACTACATATGCGTGCCATATGGATTTCTGACATCGGGAGCTATACACTCGGCATTCGTTCTGGAGCGTGCTGGTGACCGACTTCAACTCATACAAAGCATTCGAAAGGCTGATCACCGACCTGTTCAGATAAATCTTGATATTCAATTACAGTACGACGGCAGCAAGCAGAATATGAAGTGGGATCGAGAAGGTATGATGCAGGAAATGCTACATGGAGGGCTTCGAGATCTGATATATACCGACATCACCCAATGGTGCCTGGACAGCGAGCAGGAGTGGCAGCAGATCTTAGACACAGGATCGGTCACACAATCATGGCAGTTTCTCGTGGACGGATTGCAGCCCATCGCTCAGAAGCACCTCACACCACATCCAGACACGAAACTTCAGGACAAATCAAAGCAAAAGATTCAACTTCTTCGTGAACGGCGCGATCTTCGACAAGCAGTGGCTCAGCAGTGGACACATGACGGACTGGGACCTATAAGATATATCTTTCGTATTCTTGGAATCGGATCGAGCATGCACTCGCTACGAGATCTACTACACGGATGGCGAGTAGCAGTGTGTCTTGGCATAGCGAGCAGAAAGGTCACCTCACATATCAAGCAAATGCAGATCGATCGACAGCTGGCACTGATGGAAGCATGTACACAGGCATGGAATGACAAGCGCCATGCGGAGGCGCATCAGCTTGCACGAATGATTACAGGAAAAAGACTTGGACCCAAACGACGACGGTGCGGACGACCCATCACGTTACGACTTACACGAGATGAAGCTGAACAACGTTTCTCTAAGGCAGGAGCTCTTAAGGGATGGGGTGCTCGCAGGATCACGGACGCCAGGCTCTTCATTCAGGCACAACAGGCTCGTCATCCCCCCACCCCAGACGTACGGCCATAGGCTGAACGCGATCTCCTTCGTACTATTCAAGCTCTTGGCAAGGCAAAAAATCGACGAGCAGCCCCAGAGTGGGATTTACCTTCTGAGGTATGGCGTATCTTTCTTTCTCCACCTGTTGGCACGGTGGTGCAGCATGGTATTGGATTGGACACCCCCACAGAGCAGCTGCAGTGTATTTATGATCGGCTCTTGGTGTTCCATCAGAAAGTTCGCGCGAACAACAAGGCTCCGCAGCAATGGCATCGAGATAAGTGTTTTGGAATACCCAAGGACTTGGACGACACGCGATGGGTACACGGACATGGTGCTTACAGTAACTCGTTCTATCGCGGCCTCCTTCGGAGCCAGCCCGCAGACGTACTATATCCTCACGCGTATCATGTTCCTGGAAGGAGATGCGAGGGGGCAATTGCGGCTACCACAGTTATGATGGACCGACTTAGGAAAGCAAAAAAATCCCACATCGCTCTCAACTTCGACGCGGTCAACGCTTTCAATTGCGCGAAGCAGGATAGCATCATCTTCCCCACCGCCTCCGAGAGTGACGCGAAGCTTTTTGATGATCGAATTGGTGGGTGTGTTACGGAGTATGACGCACTGGATGGCAGGGTCAACTTTCACCACGGCGAGGGCGCTACACAAGGGAGCTCGCTCGGCACCGGACTTTTTGAGAAGGCATATGGCGCATCGGTCGACGACTGGCGAGCTGATACAACATATCCACAGTTGCAGGTTCCATCGGTAGTTCGTGACAATATCGTAGATTGCTCGATCTTTAGATTCGTGGACGACGTCAGACGCCTACTATGTGTTCAAGGATTCACACAGATGAGGGACTCTAGCTCACGATGCATCGATTCTCTGTCGCGACACCTCCTGGAGATAGGTTGCGCGCAGAACGAGAAGAAGCTAGAGGCCACTGCATTCTTCATGGGTAAACTATCGGGCCATCTACAGCGACGTGCGTATGCTGATCCATGGATGCCTGGACGTGTGATGAGAGAGGCTCGATACCTTGGCCCCATGCTGCACTATCGCGGATACACGGGGGTAGAACTTAATCGACGGATTCAAGCATGCAAAAAGAACTGGTATATGTTTCACAAGTTTTGGTTCAGCAGAGTATGCAGCGACTTCAAGATTATCTTGTTTCGCATGATGTGCATGGCCTGTCTTATGTCTGGTGTCTTGGGGCTGCCTTTCACCAAAGAGGACGAGGCCAAGCTCGACAGGACACAGACATGGTTTTGTCGTAAATTGTTGCAGGGCGCGGCGACGAATACCACCCTCCTTCCCGACGGCACCGAGAAGAAGAGGGGCCTCGCCTCTGCACGAGTTTTACTGCTGCTCCGACTAGCACCCGTCTCGCTGGAGCTCAGGATTCAGAGATTGAGGTGGTACCAGGCAATGTTCAGGGCCCCTGAAAAAAACGAACAGCTCCTGACTATCCTCCTGGCCCCCCAGATGCCCTTCGAGCAGGACCCAGTGGAGCTTAACTTTTTCGTGAAAAGGATGATTGAAGATTTGAACTCGCTCGCGGAACTTGAGGAGGGTGCGGATTTCGTGGATAGGTATCAGGGCGCCCCCCAAAGGCTCTTAATGGATCAGGATCTGAAGGCCCACTTCTTGGACATCGACGTCTCAGAGCTTCGGAGTAAGTACCTCTCGGTTGCCGTGCCTTCTCCAGGCCACCATCAGCCCCCTCAGGATCCCGAAGATGAACCCCCACATGCTCGTGAATACCGATGTCATGATCTTCTTCCGAATGGACAGGAGTGTGGAGAGACGTTCGAGACCCTTAGAGCCCTGCGAGTCCACCAATCGCGTGTTCGAAGAGCGGATGGTGTCGTACATGTTGAAAAGTTCGTGCAAAGTAGTATGTGTCCATGGTGTTCGTCTGGGTTTAGCAGTCGGGACTCAGCGGTATCACATGTGCGCCATGCTTTCATCCAGAATCGGTGCCTTACGGATCATGCCATAACACCACAAAAAGTACCTGATGAAGTTGAACTTGTATGTCCGTTGTGTGAACAGCACTTTACGTCTCTGGCGCTATATCACATTCATGTTCGGTCGCATGTTCCAGGGCCTCGAGATATACATTTATCAGTAGCTCGTTCGGGGCTCGAGATCATTCCAGAGTTGGCCGCGCGGTTCGGCCACCTACCTCTCCGAGGACGCAGAGGCCATGCCCCTCGACCTCGCGCTCCCGCCAGCGCAGCGTCAGCGCAGGGAGGAGCCTCTCGGCAAAGCGCTGAAGGAGGCCGACAAGGACAATTTGAAGGCGATCAAGGACATGATGATTCTCGTAGCAAAGTTGGGACTGGCAGCCGAGTACCAAGCACGTGTGGCGAGAGCGGTTTCGGACCTGGAGGTGTGCGTGTGCCCGTTGTCGGTCGAGATGGTGCAGGCCGGCCTGGATGCGGGTCGTGGCTACGCGCAGCAAGCAGCGGGAGTGGCCAAGGAGGATCGAGAGCAGCAGTTGGGTCTCCCGCACACGTCGATATTCTTGGCCATCATGAACAAAGCCGAGCAGCAGGCAGTACAGTTGAGCGGCCAGGCGAAGACGGACTTCGAGCGCTACACCGCCAACTACACGCAGATCAAGGAATCCAAGGGCATGCAGGCCCTTCATCACGCCCTGCAGAAGGACATCCCTTACTGCCGCGTGAAGAAAACGTATGCACGGGACTACGCGAAGATAGAGATCAAAGTGAACAGATCGGCCGTGGCATGGCCGGCGTGGGAGCATGCCAAAACATTGTTGAGCAACCAGGGCGGCATCTTCAAGTACGGGATGGCGCCATCGTCAGACATAGCGCGCAGAGTGCAGCAGGTGTTAGAGGAGCTTGGCGAGAGTCGGACGCACGAGGAGAGGTATCGCTAGACGGATCGAGCTCCTCGTCGACTGCAAAGAGAAATACTTCTGCTGGCTCTCTTTCTTCGACTGCGAGAAGAAATACTTCTGCTGGCTCGTTTTTTTCTTCGACTGCGGAAAGAAATACTGCTGGCTCGTCTTCTTCGACTGCTGGTGGAAATACTTCTGCAGGGATTTCGCTTTCTTCGACTGCTGGTGGAAATAGTTCTGCTGAGCTTCGACAGCTACTACGAGCAGCTGAGCGACGTCAGAGAGCGGGATCTGAGGCCGCCCATTTTGCCGCTGCTGTTTCCTCTTCTCCTCCTCCTCCTCCTCCTCCGTTGCGTGAAGTAGTGTATCTCGATCGGCACGCTCGAGCACAGAGCGCTCGTCGAGATGTAATTCGTCGTCGAGGCTGATGGCACCTCCGCCGTGGCGTCCGCGTCTGGGGTGGGCGTTCCCTGCCCCCTGTCGGATGTCTCGAGTGTGGGTGCCCCCAGTTTCGGGCCCGAGCAGGCTGGGTCACGAGGCGGTGTCCCTGCCCTGCTCTGGCCTCCTAGGCTCCATAGGCCGTGTTGGAGGTTCGGAGTGTCGGGTCGGTGGGTTCGTTGGCCTGGCAGATTTTTTGTCGAGTAG